CCCTACCAACCCAGAGCCACTTTTCCAGTTGCCAGAAGAAGCCTAACACATTATTTATAATTTTATATCATTATATTTACCTTTCTTTTTTTTTTTTTTTTTTAATAACAAGTCCTTATGGTCCTGGCTCCTTGTCCGTTCTGGGGAGCGTCAGTCCGGTTCCTATTCCCACGGCAAGTCAAGAAAAAAACACATGGTGAACCACCATCACACCCTCACGCCTCCTCCCGTTTGGCCGAAGGATCCCTGACCGGCATTGATTACTCCTTTGAGGAGGATTGCCTGTCATCAGCTTGCCTTTCCCTACTCTTCCTCTCAGGCCCGTTTCGGTTGTGCCACCATGATATGCGCCACCACGAAGTATGTTGGACTATTCCTCAATTTATGTGTGCCATCCTTGCACAGGGGCCATGCTAATCTTCACTATATCATTCCAATTTTAACGGATCTCCTGAAGGACTGACACATCATTTATTTTGGCTCACTGACCCACCCACCCACACAGGCATGCACGCACACACATCCAATGTTTGCGCATAGCATGTTCACGCACACAAGTGTGCCCGCACACACACACACACACACTTGTGCACACAGATGCGCATGCACACACACACACACACACACACACACACACACACACACACACACACACACACACACACACACACAGAAACAACAACAACATAAACGGGGGCCGGACGACGCACAAAGCCAAGCACCAAAACTTAACACAGTCCCAACTTTACAGTTCTATCCAGGAAGGCAGGAGGGGTGCCCTCTCATCTCTATTTTAATATTTTCCGAAAGGTATAACGAACGCATTCCCATTTAATGACACAATGGTCATAACCGGCCCTACTGGTGCTCTGTGCATGCTTTGATGAGCCTGGGCTCTATCATGAACATAGCACCCCAATGCGGCCTGGCCATGAGGTTCATGGTGTCTGGCCACGAACTTCGCACCGCGTAAAGCCTGGCCCCAAGATTAACAAGAAATTCGCCGGGCACAAGAATACCATGGCCTAGTTCAGTTGCCTTGAGGCTGAGCACACAATCAACGTCTGCATGCACGTAAGGACTCAGGAGTGGTATAACCACCCAAACAAAACAAAAAAAAGGAGAAAAAAATCAGAAAACAAGAAGCATACACAACCTTTATTGTCGATCCCTCCAAAAAAGAAGGAAAAAAACAAAAAAATGGCAATCCCATATTCAACAAAGGAAGGCGGAATTCAGGGCTCGTTGAAGGGAGACTTGACTTTGTGGGTCTACGGGACACGCTCATCTACAGTACACCCACAAGGTCTGCAGTCCCTATGGGACACACATTTCTTGAGTGTCCCACAAGGCTTGTGGTACCCCCAAGGTGTGTCCCATAGGGACTGCAAACGTTCGGGACACACTGCATGAGAGTACCCTCTGCCTACGGTACACACCCTTGTGCGCAGAACACACCCCTCTGCATGTGATGGAAGCTGAAAGGGTTGCAGTCCTTTCAGCTCACTTGACATTCACAGGGGTGTGTTCTGCTCACAGGGGTGTAACAGCAAGGTTATTTCAGCTGAAGTCTCTGTGAGTCTTCGCTGGAGACTTCGCTGGAGTCGGGCAAACTCTCATGCCATCATCCTTTGGCAGGACATCACGCATGAGTGTCAGGTAATCTTCTAAGTACCAAAAGACATCTTTGGCAGAAAGATCAACATGTGGTCGGAAAAAAAAAAAGATCAACATGTGTCTTCATCAGCCACACGCTATGCTGTATTCCAGGACATCTTTCAAAATTGGAATACCACAGAGAAGAGCAGTCATGGCATGGCCCCTGGGCAAGGATGACACACAGAAATCGAGAAATCTGAACGAGTAAATTCAGTTGTTTGATTGGGGGGTGAAGGGAGGAGGGGGAGGGTGATAAGGAGCTACGGCACAAGGGTCACACACCTAAGCAGATCGGACATTCTGTCTCCTTGCGCAGATCAGAAAGACATATGAGCATCTCCCTCCTGGAACACAGAAAGGACAACAGAAGCACAGACCCACAATTTTCACCCATGACAAAGAGGATGTAATCATATAACCATGGACAGGAACTGAAAGGCTTGAGCAAGAGAGAGAGAGAGAGAGAGAGAGAGAGAGAGAGAGAGAGAG